ATTTGTATTTTATTTTTTGTTTTTTAAATGAGTAGATGAAGTGTAATTTGGATGTTATCATGCCACTAAATAAATAAATAAATAAATATATATCACCTATATGGGCGGTTGGGCATGGCTGTCATGGGAACATGATCTTGTTGTACAGGTCTCATGTTAGGGGGAGGCCGACCCTTTGAAAGCAAGACAAAAGGCAGAAAAAAAATGAAAGATCACAAGAACATGTGCATTTTAATAGTTAGCAGATCACTCAAGAAGCTAACATCGATACCTGTCAGATCTGTCAGGCTTAAAAATGTCTTATGCTCGGTTTATTATTTGTTGTGCTGTATTTGTATGACTTCCAAAGGTATTTCCAGATAGATCCATGTTTCTGGTTAAGATTATGGCAGCCCTGTGCTGCTGCTATGAATCATTAACTATTTTACCATCAAGACACACGCACATTACGCTGACTCACGTTGATATCAGAAGCAAAAGCAATTCCAGGGAACAAGTGCTGTTCTTTAGAGGCTGTCTTGGGTGTCGTCTTTCCTTCACTGCACACAAACACATGCACAGAGACGGAATTAATTACTTGTTAGATGTAACATAATGACTTAATAAGCATCATGGGCTTTAAGTCATATATTTTTTAATCACACTCAAAGTCAGGCTATGTAAGACACATAAAGATTCGCCTGATGCTATTCAGAATCAATAAAGTTACATTTAATTACATTAAAACTACTTCTAGATTTGTATTTGTCATTCTCACCCTGTGTGGCTCTTGTTTGATGGTAACATTATCACGTAAACAATCACCCCCACCAGCACAGCGAGTGTAAGACCAGGAAGAGATGCCACCAGGGCAAAGGTCACTACTGTCCATCTCTGAGTGCAGTTTTCATCAATGTAAAACTCACCCTTTTGACTGTTGCACCTACACAGCGAACAGAGGAAAGGAGTGAATCTCAAAACAAGCTTGTGTTTACACTACTGTGTAGAGTATCACAAAAAAGTCATTTATAAGGAGTAGATTACCGACAGAATGGTTGTCCCTCGAAACAGGTACAACTGCTAATTGTCTCATCACAGATCCCCGCATTATCCAAACATCGGTCAAAGTCATTAACATTACCACAGGCAGCTGAAGAACACACATTCAGAAACTATAGTAAGAGTATTAGTTTACATCTAATGTATCATGATTATTTGTAAAAGACACTACATAACCATTGCAACATATTTGAACTACTTTTGAACACACACTTACGGTCTGTTGTCTGTCCAGTTGCTTCATCAGTAACAAACAAGATAAAACACACGTACAGTAAGACCTTCATCTTTTAGTTCCCACACACACATGAATTCCACTAATGGCACTTGCATAATAGGCTATTTGCAGCTGACTGGGGTATTTATGGTGTTATACACACCCAACACAGTAAGAGCTGGAGCATGCTCAAATACTCACCTACAGGTAGTGGATGTGAATGAAACTCTTACTGTTTCCAGCAGATATTTGCCGGTGTGGACGTTATTTTTTTCCTTGTGTCAGTTCAATGGATTAACATGAGGCCATGAACTGTTATTAAGTTACAACAATTATAAAATTCAATTTGAAATAGTTATGTTTATCATGTCACTTTGCAGGACATTTATCCTTAATTTTTTCTTTTTTTTTCTGACATTTAGGCTCGCATACTCACAAACATACCACCATTCAAAAAGTAAATACTATTCAGCAAGGGCTCATTAAATCCAAAAAAAAAAAGAAATTTATAATGTTACAAAAAAGTTATATTTTAAATAAATGCTGTTCTTTATAACTTTCTATTAATCAAAGAATCCTGAAAAAGAATTACTGTTTCCACAAAATGTTAATTAGCATAACATTAAAAATAATTAGAAATGATTCCTTATCACCAAATCAGCATATTAGAATTACATTTAAAAAATATATCCAAGTAGAAAATTTCATGCATTAGTTTTTACTGTATTTTAGATACGGTTTGATAAAGTACTTTTGATCTCTTATGGTGAGCGATTGGTAAGAGATTTCCTTAAAACAAAGATTACAAAATCTTACCAACCACAAACTTGAACAATAGCGTAAATCAGGTGGTGTCACACCGCAGGACTGATGAACATAGAAGAGGTTCCACACAAACATTAAATCTAATTAATAGTACAAAGTAAAACTGTCCCTCATCCCATCTCAAGAGCCAATTAGATAATGTCAGTATATTTAATATTTCTATTTCTATTTAACATAAATTGATGCATTTCTGTATTGTATATTTCATGACGACAACAGCCACATCACTGGACAGTTTTCACAATTTACCTGAAACTGCTAAAAACGGCCAATGTCAACTGCCAATATGAACTAACAAGGTTTGAGTTTAAAGTGTTTTTAAAATGAATTTTAGAAAAATGGATTATAGTTAAAAAAGGAGTAAGATCATGACTAGCAGGAGAGTTGAAAATACAAAATCACAATGTGTTAACTTCAGATTCATAAAAATGTATTTCTCACATTCTTTATCACAAAAGTTTTCTGAGTCCCTCAAACAGGATCAATATGTCCCATAAAAATATTAACATGTAAAACACAACCATAAGAGCAGGACGAAATATACAGTTATGTGCAACACCATGATAACCACCAGGACATTTACACACAGAACATATGACAGAAGAGGAATAAGCATGTGTTAGTTGTCAGAATCCATGTCACTGTCTCCGCCAACGGATCTGAATTCTTCACTGTCCTCCTCATCATCACTGAGCTGTGCCTGTGTGAGAACACTAGGACCTCTTCTCCTCTCATCCTCCTCCTCCTCTTCTTCCTCTTCACTTATCCCGTACCCCTCCTCTCCATCTCGTTCTCCTGTCCTGGGGCTGGACACATGCCTGTGCATCTGACTGTCTCCATCATCATAGCTGCCGTAGCTATAGCACACAGGAAGTATAAATGAAAGAGTGTATACAGAGACTTTATGAGAAGACATGGCATTTAATTAAATAAAAGAGCCACATTGCCTTACTGGCAATGGCACTTGGCCGGTCTTTACAACAGTAATTCAAACCAGGGCTGGTTTTAGAAGCATTGGCCTCATTTAGAATTTGTGAGATTTTATTGTTGCTATGACATGCTTTAGAAACATAAATTAATTAATCTTTTATCAATTCATGTCAAGGAGAACAGTATGGAGCGTGACTAGAAAAAAGCTGACCGAGGGCATTACCAAGATGCCCCAGAAAATAGCACAGGACTACGTATCAGGAAGTACTGTAAATCATGTAAATGATGTAAAATAAAATAATCACAACACTTATCGAAGTACAAGACAAACATTATTAGTATTAACTCGTGTAGTGGGCTAACGACTCTAGAATCCTGCAGTTACTGAAGAACAGTAGCATATCTATAACAGTGATACAAAACCATTACTTTTTTTGAAATTACATCAGCTTTACTCAAACAAGAACATGCTTTTTTTGTATGTATTCTGACCTGACATTGCTGTCCTCCATGTGCATTACCCCATCAGGTCCCTCCCCCTCGTAAGACATCATACTCTCTTCCTGCTCTAGTCCAATCCGGGTGCTCTCCTGATGCCCCAGTTCAGCATCACTGTCACTGCCACTCTCTGACAGTTGGATAGCTTCAATGGAGAGTAGAGTCAATATTACACATACAGCTATAATATCCCACAAATACTCGTATATACACGAGTACACACAGACTCACAGGAGAATGGATTATCGCCTTCCTCCTCACTGGCGTCGTCTTCTGCATCTGACATCAGCAGATCCTGGTAGAGCACACTGGCCTGTGCTGGCCGGCTGGAACATTCATCATCCTCCTCCTCCTCTTCATCCCTATGCATACGCCTCTGTGGCCGCATGAGGAGCTCGTCTTCATCATCCTCCTCGTCTTCATCATCCAGATCACCCTCTTCAGCCTAGAAGTACATACAACACTCAAATCTCTGACACTGAAACATTCAGCTAAGCCATAGCCTTTTAACTTATCCTTTGAGTTAATACTGTTTAATTGCTTGATGCATATTTTCATTTTGTTCACAATGATTAGTTCATTAAATCAAACAATAAGGGGAAAAAGGAGACTGAGGTTAAAGACCCCTGGATTAATTTTTGTTTTGTTTTCACAAGATAATTACTGGAGCAGGTGTTTTAGGTTTGCCATCATCATCTTCCTCAAATCCTTCAATGTCCACATCAGACTCCTCCTCGCCCATTCGGCCTCTGCCGTGACGACCCTTAGGAACGAACACACAAAAACAAAGTTAAGAAAAGTGTAGTGGCACACAGAAGGAGAGGACCAATCAGAAAATGCATGCAGTAGAGGATGGACAAATGCAGGGATGGAGGGATTTTTTTTTCCAGTTTAGGGCTCTGAATATAATTTTTTTGCACATTACAACCTTAAAGGAACACTCCACTATTTTTGAAAATAGGCTCATTTTCCAACTCCCCGCCAGACCCGGAGATCGGCTGAATGGATTCGAAAACGGTAAAACTCAACTGTTAAACTCTAGGGGAGTTGGAAAATGAGCCTATTTTCAAAAATAGTGGAGTGTTCCTTTAAAGCAGTTTTAGAACAAAAGAAGAGTTAATGGTTGAGACACTGAAACCACAACAGACTGGTCCCTGAAAGAAGCATTTCCGCTACATTCCTTTCAAATGTCACTATATTGTTTTGTTCTCGGCTGGTAAGAGACTCAATTTGAAGGAAACTTGACAGATTCTGAATTTAGCTCAATAAAGACCAGTTATAAAATGCATCCTAAACATCCTTTAATAACTGATGGAGATGGGTTAATCAAGCAGCACACAGAAACCATCACAGTACAGGGGTGGGTAACCCCATGGATGGATGGTGGGGTGGGAGGACATATCTAAAGGGGTAAAGCAAGCCAGCCAATAACATGAATGATAAAATGGATGGACAGAGGAATGGATGAGTGCAGAGAGGGAGAGAGGAATACCTGCCCCCCTCTTTTCTCAGGGGTGGGAGGGATTAGCGTAGCCTCAGCTAACAGACTAGAATCTCCCTGTAAACTCACAGACACACTGTTCTCACACATATCAGGCTGAAAGAAAGAAAGGGAAGCGAAGAAAACAAAAGGATAGAAAAGATCATAAAAAAAGAAAAAGCCCCAGACACAGAAAGACAAATAGGTTGCCATAAAGGGAGGAGGAAAAGGCAGGAACAGTGAGGAAATGTGAATCAAAAACAGCTGTGCAGTACAGAATGTTTGGATTATGCACAAGAGAGAGAGAAATACAAGCCTTCTGTTCTATTTCTGGCAGAATGCTGATATGCTTCATTTCACCTGCTACAAAATACACTTGAGACACCTGAGATCATGCCCTCAGTGTGATCTGTGTGTGTACCTGCGGCGTGTACGGTCCAGGGGTCAAGGGGTCTAAGCTCTCAAGGTCTGCAGCATCCAGAGCAGCTTCTTTAGCAGTAGAGATGTCCTTTTCCAGTTGAGTCAGGTGTTCGTCGTACTAACAGACAGATACACATTAAACCTCTCAAGCACAAGTCAAACAGCACATGAAAACAGCAAAGAGCTCGCTCACTCACTCACACACACACACACACACACACACACAGACGTACCTCTGCTAAAGTCTGCTTGCAGACATTCATGATTACCAGAGCTGTTTTGGTATAAGGACTATCAGGCCCTAAAAAAGTAAGAATGTATACAAAAGTGAAATCACAATTTTAGTCAATATGAAACAGCATTTTCATAACTAAAACGTTAATGTTTCTCACCATTGTACTTGACACTGTTGGTGTGAATGAGAGCGACATCAAAAAGAAACACCTCTCGGTTCTGATACTTGTGCTTGGAGATGTTCTATACACAAAAAATCAAACAAACAGTTAGTTCAGAGATCCTTAAATAAATCACATCTTAACTGCAGTTTCTTCCGTCCACACACAGATCTTCCTGACCTTACGGAGTGTGTCCAGATCCATGGGGTAGATGATGACTTTATAATAATCAGGAACAAATTTCTTGTTAACAGGATGATGGAAGGGCCAGGACTAGAGAAAGAGAGATATTAACTAATTAAGGAAGAGCAATTCACTTCATTTTTGCGAACTGACAGATTAGCTGGTCCTCTCTAGTTTTAGTGTTAAGGCTGTTGAGGAAGTTTTTCAATGTCATAATACATTGATAATTTAATGTAAAAATCAAAATAGCCATACATTTGATATGTGGATTAAATAGGTGTTTACTTGTATAAAGCTTGAAAAAAAGTCATTCACAGGCTCTCTAAAGACCTTTCATAAGATAAGGTGCCCCTTTTTGCTAAATGTTCTGGATGACTCTATAAACAGTTAAGCAGAACACTTACATCCCCGCCCACCTTTGTTTTTTTTATTTATATACATTTTTAATTTAATTTGATTTAATTTATTAACTTATTTGCGTATTATTTTGTTCTAATTTTATCATAGTGCATGGTATTTAATTTTACTGCTACAATGTATGTAACTGGTTGGATTTTTGTTAATTGGGGAGCTATTATTGCATACTTTTAGCTTGTGGTGAATGGGTTTATTATCTGTGCACTTGCTATTCCATGCAAACAAAAAAAATCCATTAAAGGAAAAAAAAAAAAAAAAAAAAAAAAAGAAAAGAATAAAATAAGTTAATATCGTCCAAACCGATTTGCAGTTAATAACACTGGACAGACATTAAATATGAATGATTAAAAGAAGAGGAAATTAGTCCTCTAATACTTAAATATGAGCAAATATAAAATGTATAAGAATAGAACATGAAAATAACATCACTCACGTCAGGTACGGGCATCATCTTCTGTGTGACAATGTTGTCGAGGATGAAGGAGAAAGCGACCTGATCATCATCATCCAGAAGGGGATTAATGGCTTTCTCTAAACGAACCAAACGCTCCTCTTTCTGCAAAGAGAGTAACAAGAATTAGTCCTTAACCTTCCTGCAAGTATGTCTGAGTCCTATTAAAAGATTTACATCTACCTCTTTGAGTTTCTCATCACACAGATTCAGCATTGCTTGACTGACAAGGGTTAAAGGATGCTTTGCACCTGAAAAGACACATAAAAACAGATCATGAGTATGTCTCACCTGAGTGAAGAAATTAAGTTCCTCTATGAGTTGCATATGAAAGTACCATTGTACGTAGAACTGTTTTTGAAGATGAGTTCGACACTCTCTCTGAACTCTTCTCGTGACGGGTACATGCGCTTGCGAACATTTTCACGCAATGTCTGCAGGTCCATCGGCCGTGTGACGATCCTGTAATAATCCTTAACCACTTTGCCGTTCACAGGAGTGTGAAATGGGTATGTCTGAGAGACAAACACCATATTCACTCATTGTCTCAGAGCATGTGTCCATGTCTAGTAAAGATAAATGAATGCGTCTTACATTAGGAAGGTCCCTCATGTCATTAATGATGCTCTCCAGTACTGAAGAGAGTGTGACCATGGGGTCTGTCCTTCTGCGATGGATGGACTTGAGAGGACGCTGAGAGAAAGGCAGAGAAGTAAAATAAATGGCGATGGCACACTGAGAAGCTGCCATATGTTGATTACTTATACAGGGTCTATAGCAGGGGTGTCAAACTCAATTCCTTGAGGGCTGGAGCCCTGCAGAGTTTAGAGTCAACCTGAATTAAACACACCTGATCCAACTAATCAAGTCCTTCAGGCTTATTTGAAAACGACATGGTATGTGTGTTGGAGCAGAGTTGGAACAAAACTCTGCAGGGCTCCGGCCCTCCAGGAATTGAGTTTGACACCCCTGGTCTATAGGGACCAGTAAATGACTACGGTACAAACAAACACTTAAAACATACTCTTACATTGAGGTAGTCACAGTGCACCGTTGTCCCCACACGTCTCTTCTTTTTAGGAGGAAGCTGCTGCTTGGGGAACTTCAGAACCAGAGATTTCCTCCGCACTTCATCAGCACTAGAAACATATTAATGATGGATTAATATTCATAACAATACTACAAATCCTAAAACATTTGAGCAAATGAGCACACAAATTATTTTAAACAGTTGACAAAACTTTTGGGAAGGTGACTTACAATGTGACATGCCATGCATTACATTACCTACAACCATCTTAAACAGTGTTTTGGTAGTTACATATAGTTATATATAGTTCATTTATACGTTATTATGCATAAAGCATGATGTATTTGAAATTAATTTGTCACACCACAAGTACTATTTTAGTATTATTTACAGTACATACAATTGTAGCATTTATTAATATTTTGAATTAGCTTTTATATTTACATTTACAGTTTTCATTTTAATTTTAGCTATTTACAGCCACAGTGCTTTTGTCATTTTTATTAGTTATATAAATATATACCTTTAATCTGAATTTCAGTTTCGGTTGTATTTTAGTCTAGTTTTGCCTGGGCAACAACTCTAATCTTTGTTTTCTAAGTTTACGTTTTTTATTTATTGTTTATATCTTTATTTCAATTTAAAAAATAATAGTTTTTAATAGTTTTAGTTAACTTTTAACACTGACCATGGGCCTATATTAAAAGCTAGTGAAGGTCAAAGATGGTTAAGAGAAACATGTTATAAATGGCACATACACTTTCAAATAAACTATACATTTTGAACCTCTTGTTCATATTCTGGCATTGACTAAAAAAAAAAAAAAAGTTTATAAACACATTATCAGGGGTTGAAGCAAAAAAAAAAAAATCCTGAGCCTGAACTTTTTTCCGGCGCTTTGGGGGGGCGGACACATACACAGGGTTATTTGGCAAACAAAAAAAGAAAATGATTTTCCTTGAAACTAATTAGTAACGTATCTGCCATTGCCATTAGCCCTTGACAAACTCAGCCTACAGATTATGGTGGGATATTTGAAACAGCAATACCAAGAAAGGTTACTCACTACAATATGGTGCAAACACATGTAACATTTAGGATGCTTTTGATATCAAGTTTTGCTGGTTAGCTTTGTCCTTGACAGGGTACAAGATGACCTACAATCTAAAACATGAAATTTCTGAAATTGCTTTGTTCAAAAGAAATAATGGTAAATTAAATACTAGGAAATGAATATAAAATAGGAAATATACAAAGACAGTTTACTACAGAAAACTACAGTTCAGTTCAAATAACAACAAAAACATTAAAATGGTCCAAGAACTGGTAACTTAAACAGGGTTTGTACAGATATGATTGTATTTTAAAGACAACCAGTTCGAAGGGAGCATAGTTTGCTTTTTGGGTTAAAAGAATTTCTTGGCATGAAATTCGAATGGTATGACAATTAGAGATTAGACTGTACAGAAATTGAAATCTACACACACACTATACTCATAGTCACGCAATGCTGATGTTGTTAACATTAATAATCTGAGAATAAAGAATAACAATAAAAATAATTTGCACAGTTTGATGTGATATGAGCTAATCGATCGTTAGATTAAATCACCATTGGTAGCACGATTTATTGTAATGCTTTTTTCCTCAGTTGGTCAGAACAAACGTTGCAGACTTGTTACTTCCTTGTTCAGATGACAATATACGGTGAAAATTAATATTTGGGTTATATATTCCAAGACGTAGGCTAGAATCTGTGATTACTAAGTATAGGATTCACATCGGTGCGGTGACTGACTGCCACACATACTCCGTCCTCAAAACATTAGATTAATCCGCGCTGGAGCCGTGCCAGAGTACAACCCATGCAAGGAAGATAATTCCGCAAGTAACTGCAATTCCAGGTTTTCAAACAGAGATGGCGACAAAGAGGCAAAACTTACGGACTGCAGCTTTAAATACATAATGTAATATGCCTATATTATAACAAATGCCTGCAGAGGGCGCCAACGGCCTGGTGATGTTTCATGTGATTCAACGACATTTAAATCCATTTAATTTTAATATTTG